TAGTGACACTGGCTACAGTCTTCACCGCGTGTGAATGGTCTCACTGCTTCCATTCGGGTTGCCCGCTGCTAATCCCTTTCCTTCTTGTCTTTGCTGTAACGTTGCTGCTGCTGTCTGGTCTCACAGGAGGCAGAACCGACCGAATGGCAGCCGGTCTGGGTTTGCTTTGGTCTCAGAGACGGTTTTTGAAAGGAGCATCATGCTCAGGATGAGGCTTCCCTTGTACCACTCACATGTGACCACCCAGACATGGGCGAGGAAGATGCCTCCCAACAGAACATCTCAGATACCAGCCAGCACCTCACCCAGCGAGACCAGGTTGCTGTACGTCTCCAGCATCACGTCTCTGTACAAATCCCTCTGAGCTGGTGCCAGCTGCGCCCATTCGTCTTGGGAGAAGGTTATGGCCACGTCCCTGAACAGGAATGATCCCTGGAACAAGACGCACGGATGTTAAATGCCTGTTTCAAGGAAATGTTTCACAGTGGGATGAGGAGAAATAGAAGGCTTTGTAGGAAGATGCTGTTCTGAGGTGTGTGGCTGGGGCTGAAGGTCCTAATGTGAATGAGCAACAAGAATAAAGTAAGAACTCATGAGAGACAAGACTGGGAATTTCAAGGGCGGATGAATCCTCCTCCTGGTTCCTCTCTTTAAAAAGTTCTGGGGAAAATTCCATAATCTTTCAATGCCATGTTCCTCACGACCTTTTGAAGCCCCGTGCAAAACGAGCCCCAAACAAGACGCGCTGCATCAAGTCAGCTGACTCGTGGAGCCCCTGGGGGCAGAGATGGGCGCCCACGGGTTTTCTGAGGCTGCGATCCTTATGGGATCAGACTGTCACATCTATCTCCTGCAGCTTGGGTGACAGGTTCGAACCACCAACCCTTTGATTAGTAGCTGCACACTTAATCACTGTGCCACCAGGGCTCCTCATGAATGGGCCGTTTCACTGCAAACCCAAAGCTCTTGTACACAGATCTGGAGTGAGAATAAAAAGCCAACAAAGTGATGTTTTCTTACCCCTACCCAACGGTGTAATAAGGCACGCTGCCCGTTCTGTGCCTGGCACATAATACCTTCTCCTTTAACACAGGACCCGGCACTTCTGCCTTTAGAAGGTAACAACAACAACAAACAAACCAGATAGACTTTCTCCCAGAGGCTCTACGAGCTATCATAGAAAACATGATTTTCCTATCAGTTGAGAATGTCTTAAAGCTGTTGTTAGGTGCCACAGAGAGGGGCCACCCATGGGTTCCCTACAGTGGAATCTTCATGGAGACCGACCGCCAGGTCTTCCTCCTGCAGAGGTGCTAGGTGCCTTCAAACTGCCAACCACCAGCGGGCTCGCCTCCGGGGCTCCTGTGACAGCCTCAGGCCTTCTCCTGCCATCGTGAACGAGGGCCACTTTAGCAGGCTTTCTAACTTCCCATCTGCGGAAAGCATGACCCACCCTTTCTTTGGGCCCTGGAGGCAGGTGGGGGCCAGACCGTCCTTGTAAGACCCTGCCACATGCAGCCAGTCTAGACGGGACACCGCCCCCTCGGGCGCTCGCCTCGCGCTTCCCTCCGCCATCCCCAGCTCTGCGCTTCTGTGTTCCCAAGCTGCAGATTCACACGCTCTGCTGAGCTCCCCATCAGACCTTAATTTCACCGTCTCTTTTGCTCTCTCCCAGAGAAGCCCCATTCACACACCCAGGTTAAAACCCTGCCAGGCAGACTGCCAGGCACTGAGACTGGGACTGGCCAATGCGGCCTCTGCTGCTTGTCCACCTGCGACCCCCCCCAGGTGTTCCTCTGCGGCCCCGCCCAGGTGTTCCTCTGTGACCCCTCCCAGGTGTTCCTCTGCGGCCCCTCCCAGGTGTTCCTCTGTGACCCCGCCCAGGTGTTCCTCTGTGGCCCCTCCCAGGTGTTCCTCTGCGGCCCCTCCCAGGTGTTCCTCTGCGACCCCTCCCAGGTGTTCCTCTGCGACCCCTCCCAGGTGTTCCTCTGCGGCCCCTCCCAGGTGTTCCTCTGCGACCCCTCCCAGGTGTTCCTCTGTGACCCCTCCCAGGTGTTCCTCTGCGACCCCTCCCAGGTGTTCCTCTGCGACCCCTCCCAGGTGTTCCTCTGCGACCCCTCCCAGGTGTTCCTCTGCGGCCCCTCCCAGGTGTTCCTCTGTGACCCCTCCCAGGTGTTCCTCTGTGCTGTGACACCTCCCAGGTGTTCCTCTGTGGCCCCGCCCAGGTGTTCCCCTCCAGTCCATCAAGTCTGGGTTCTGCAAAAGGAGCTCTCCTTTGCCACCAACTGCGGCCAGTGGGTTGATTTCGCCTCATCTCGACCCACAACAGCAGGGAAGTTTCCAGGGCTGCTATCTTCCCGCACATGCTTCTTCCACCGCGGCGGGGGGGCAGCAGAATGCTTAAGCACCACACCGCCCAGGCTCTCCTTTTCCTACAAGGGCATGAATTTCTGCCCCCACGACCTACTGGCAGAAGACGGGAGATGTTGAATGCTGCACCCGAAGCAGAAACCTCTACTGTCATCGAGCTAATCCTGACTCATAGCAACCTGATGCAGGGTTTCTGAGGCAGTCAATCTTTATAGGAGCAGACCACCTCATCTTTGTCCCTCAGAGCAGCAGGTGAGTTTGAACTCCTGACCTTGTAGTTAGCTGCCCAACTCCTAACTCACAGTGCCACCACGGCTCCTAAATGCTGCACATGTCCAAAAGAAACTCATGGGTACTGGTCAGAGATAAAGGGGCCACTGGAGAGGGGACCGGCTGCTAGTCCATTCACTCCCCAAAAAGAGAACATTCGGAAGCCACATTCCTGGGTGGAAGCCCAGTGGGAAGTTTCAGGTGAAGCAACCAAATATTTACATGGCTCGAAAACTCACCAGGGACATGGCTTTTAGAACTTCAAGGACCGATGAATCTTCTCCTGGGACCTCTCTTGGAGAAGGGTGGAGTCCTGAGACGGCAGAGCTAAGGGAGGAGAGAGACCAGCTCCCTGAGTGCCGGGGCACAGCTCCCACCACCAGAACATTAGAGGGATTAGGCCCTCACCCGAACTCCAGGACGCTCAGCTAAATAACCAGAAGCGCTGCTTTGTTGTTGGCAGAGATCTCAAACAGGGGTGACGCGCAGAGCTGGACCGGGGACTGAGCTCACATGTTGCTGTTGCTGCCAGGCACCTTCAGGGCGATGCTAACTCCTAGTTGGCCTCGTGAGACTACTTGGCCCTGTGCTGCCGAAGCAATGACAACTCACAGCAAAGTACGGCTGTTCCATGGGGTTTCCAGAAGCAGTCTCATCTTTCTCCTGAGGAGAGGCTGATGGCTTAGAACCACCAGCCCTCTGTTAGCAGCTGAGATCTCAATCACTGCACTTGGCCAGCAGGGCTCCTTTGACACATAACCCAAACCCTTTGCCAATGAGTTGATTCCAGCTCCCAGCAAGCCTATCGAGTGTTTCCGAGACCGTAAATCTGAATGGGGGCAGACAGTCTCCTATTTCTTCCCAAGAGTGGCTGGTGGGTTTGAAACCCTGTCCCTCGGGTTACCCACCAGTGTGTTTGAAACTACATAATGCCTCCAAGATGCTGTCCCCAAATCTGGGAGTACAGGGGGCCTCTCCCATCTGCATAGGTCTGGTCCAGAGGAAAGTCTTCTCTTTAAAACGCATCCATTCCTCAAGTGTAGCAACTTCAGAGTTCTCCCTGGCTCTTCCCTAAATTCCATATCCACAAAGGGCCCCACTGCCCACCTAAGGTTTTGTGGACTTTACTTTGTAGAACCTGCTTTGAGTCTGCAAATATGGCAGGAGGGCAAGAGGTAACTTAGGTGGAGCCGGTCCATTATCATACACCTGTGCCACCCAGGCAAGCAACTGGGCTGCTAACTGAAAGGTCAGTGGTTTGAATGCAACAGCCAGTCCTCAAAAGAAAGCTGAAGCAGTCTGCAGCCCTAAAGATTACAGCCTGGGAAACTCCCGGTGTGCTGTTCTTCGTTGTCGTACGGGGTCACTAGGAGTTAGAATTGAATCCACAGCAGTTTCTTTTTCTTTTTTAATAAGCATCATGAGTTCAGCTACATCCACAATTATGACACAACACTAACCATCGCAACATTGACTGTTGAACCAAAATATCGTTCACAGCGGTCACAGCTCTCTCATGGGATGTCAAGCACCCATCAAAACGTGCTGGAAGGCAACCCTAACTGACCAAGAAAGATACTCAAAACGACCCTTGTCCAGCATGAGCACATCAACTAGAAAGGTATCAAACCTGCCCACCCACTGACACACAGGCTGAAAAGGAAACGGCATATAGCATGAGTGATGCCTCTTAGCTGCTCGTTGAGCTCAGCGTGAAACGAGGACCTAGTATTCTGTAAGGAGAAAGGCCTGGCAATCCACTTCTGCCAAACCAGCCACTGGAAACCCCACGGCCCTCCGCTCTACTATGACGCACAGGGTCCACCGTTGGTGGTTGGCTGGTTTGGGATTTCGTAAAAGGGCTTCGGACAGTGCTGGGCATGCTCATTTGAAATCATCATTCCAAATCCTGTGTAAACGAGATCATTATGAACTTTGTTTAACACGGTACCGGCATTCTTCATTCAGACGAACCCCGTGAAAAGCATTACTCATAGTAGCTGTGGGAGGCCACCGCAAGGGCAGGCTTTGATGTACTCAGCGATCTCCCTAGTATTGGATATGGATTTTGAGCAAGATTATCAAACATGTTCCCAGGTGAAAATCTCTGTTACTAAGTAGAAATGCCCCATAGGGGTCTCTTGGGGACACTGGCAAGATCTTGATGGTAGTAAATCTCAGGCCTTTCTTTGCAATGCAGCTGGGGAGTTCAAACCAACCTTTGGTTACTGGTCATGTGTTCCACCCGGGCTGTCTAGTCTATTTTGATGAACCACTGGCCCCGTTAGAGTTTTCTGGGCTGTATTCGTTACCAAAGCAGAATGTCTGGTTGATCTCCTGCAGATTAGCGGGGTGGGCTTGAACTACCAACTTTTCCGCGGGCAGCGTTTAACCTAACTTGGTTCTGAATCGAGTTCTGCAATTACCTCTTAAAGAATCTCATTGAGCAACCCTAAGCCTCGGTACTACAAAGGACGCAAGCGAACCAATGCAAAACTTCCGCACACATTTCCAGAGGGTCAAGGAAGGGACCCTCATACCCACCTAAAGAGTCCAGGGGCTCAGGTGAAGCTTGGACGCTGGAAAGAGGCGCGAAGGGGCGGGGCCCGCGGGGGGCGACGGGAAATGTAGTCCGGCGCCAAAAACGTTGCCTACCGAGGCCGGACGTCCCAGTTCTTCCCAGGCCCTGGGCAAGCCCAGCCGCGGCGCCGGACCCCGCACGGACTCCAGAGCCCCTCACAGGCTCCGGAGCTCCTCACCTGCCACCTTCTTGGGTCCAAGTTCAGGAGCAGTTGCGCCCCGGTAACCCAGGGCGGGCCCCCTCCCGGAACTGGCGGATTTGCCGCCTGGAGCCGGAAGGTGGCGCAGACATACAAAGCATTACCGCTGAGTTGGGGGCCCGCTTCGCAATACCTTCTGGGAAATGGAGTCCCAGGGCGCTTCGCAAGACCTTCTGGGAAATAGAGTCCCAGGGCGCAGACGTACAAAGCATTACCGCTGCGTCGGGGGCCCGCTTCGCAAGACCTTCTGGGAAATGGAGTCCCAGGGCGGCCTCAGTGTGTGAGGCCAGATGTCGTGATAGTGATGGTGCGCGTGCTGATGTGGGACGCAGGCTCTGGGATCGATCGCGTGTGACTGGGAACGTTTCACAATCACAGACTGAAACCTTTTGAGCGTTGGAAGCCCGTGATAGATGGCCATGTGGTTTCTGGTCTCCCACGTCTTCCACTTTTGATGGGGTGCAGTGTTACCCCTTCGGGATCGCTTGTTTTGTGGACAATATTTCAAATTTCCTTCTCTGACAGTTTTCCGCCTTCCATAGCTTTTTGGCTCTCGAAGGTCGACACTGTATATTTTAGAGGGAATAATCTGCATTCACTTCATTTCAAACAAAATTCAAATACCTCACTTAAACCAGGTGATAAAGTAATTCTTGTTATTTTATATCAGATGTGTCATTAGGTGGGTGGGTGTTTCTGTAGTTTGTTTCTCTGAAAGCATTTTTCCATTTTGTAACATGAGCGTTAGTTATAATGGTTAAATTTGCTGATCTAAAGTCTTCATCTGATAATTACATCTGGATCATCTCAGAGTTGGCATTTATTGATGGCTGGTTAGATTTTTGCTTTTTTTTAAAAAAACAGCTTTATTGGGATATAGTTCGTATGAGTGGATATGCCGCATTTGTAATTATCCGCTCATGTGAGTTGCTTCACCTTTTGGCTATTATGAACAATAGGTACTGTGAGGAACAGAAGAATTTCTCTTAAGTTGTCTCCCCAAAATATATACCAGACTTAGCTGTTTAAGAGTGACTGTACAATAGGTGATCAGCGAAAGTAGGTCAGAGGTTATTCTCCTTAACATCAGCCATCTATAGTGGCTAGACTATTAGTCTGACTCACCCTAAATAAGACCCACTCCCTTCTGATAAGGATAATGGTGGTCTGTTCACTTGCAGGAGATGCCAGAGAGGGCAAACCCGCCCAAGGATGACCAAGGTTAGATAGCCATTATCAGCTGTCTAGATCAAGCAGACACCATTGTTAGTCCCACAACTAATGTGGGCACACCCCTAGGTCATCCCCCTCCTATTGATTGTATTGCCTATGTTAATATCCCTCCTGGTGACTCAGGTTATTGTCCGCTATCAGGGAACTTGCATGCCTCCCAGAATAGTAATTGTCTGTTTTATTATATGAGACATTAGAGTGATCAAACTTGTTCTAGAATGAATTGTATTGCCCCTTTCTGTGATGTATGACTCTATGATGCGTGGTTAGCAATAAATAATGAGGCTCCCTGGTTCTCGTGAGGGTGGCTGGCCGGGGAGTAGCTGGCCGGAGGGTGGCTGGAGAAGGTGACTAAGGAGGATGAAGCAGCGGCTTCTTCTCTGACGGCTAAGCCCCCTCCACGAGGACCATCAAGCCTAGCTGAGGTGAGCTATGCTACCATGAATTGCGTCTGACTCCATTTCTTGACTCCATCCTTTAACTCTCATGCTCTCTATGACTTTACTATAATCTCTACTTTTAATTATCGCTGTACAATTGCGCCTACCGAACCTGTGATGTTTTGTGGGGTTCCCTCTTCCCCTTAACCCCACAAGGTACAAGTTTTTGTACAGTTAAATTACTTCATTAAAAATTCATAGTCACCAGGAGGATTAGGGAAGGGTAGGGGAGGAAAGGGGGAATCAGTCATAAGGATCAAACTATAACCCCCTCCCAGGGGGACAAATAATGGAAAAATGGGTGAGAGGGCGACAGAGGATGATGTAAGATATGGAAATAATCTATAACTTATCAAGCGTTCGTGAGGGAGGAAAGGCTGGGGAAGAAATGGGGAGCTGATATCAGGGGCTCAAGTGGGAAGACAATGCATTGAAAATGATGATAGCAGCATATGTGCAAATGTGCTAACACACTGGATGGATGGATGGATTGTGATAAGAGATGTAAGAGCCCCCAATAAAAGTACTTGAAAAAAATTCAGTCACTAAAAAAAAAAAAAAAGACTTCTGAAGAAGTCTTGAGTCAACACAAATCTGAAATTTATCTTTTATTTGTGATAGTGCTATATATATAATAAATCTATAAAGTTAGCATAAGAAAATTTACTAGCGCTAATATTTTTATGTCTAAGAATATTTGAATAAATTAAAATGTATTTAAATATATAATGTATCAGAAATAAATTAATAAACATGAAAATAAATGATTAATTTGTAAACCAAAAAATTCATGGTCACTATGTTTTTCTCGTTGAATATTTCTTTCATTATTATGCAGTTTTGATATTAATATCCTTTCCCCTTAAATTCTGGTTGCCTGCTTTCAGTATTGGTACACCAGATTTCTTTTGGCTAGTATTTGCAGGGTGCTTCCTCTCCTCCATTTCCTTTAAACAACATTTTGTTTGTTAAATGCAGTTGGGCACAGAACACCACATGAAACAATTTGACGAGTAGTTATAAAACAAATACCCATGTAAATACCATCCAGGTTAAGACATAGACTGTACTCGAAGACTGATGTTTATTAGCCATGCAAACTAGATTTTACAGTCTCAGAAATTCTTTGAAGCAATTGTACTCACACCCATTTGGTCTGAGTTATAGATTTGATATACCGTCCCCGCTCTTTCTATAAAATAGCCCCAATCACTATCTTTATAGCACATGTGTCCATAAACACATACACTCTTAACAGTGTTATTTTTTCCAGGTACCAACCTTCATTATTGCTGTGTCAGAGTAGAATTGTGTTCCATAGACTTTTCAATGGCTGGTTTTTCTGAAATACTAGGCCTTTCTTCCAAGGAGCTTCTGAGCGGATTTAGCAGTTCCAACAAGTGTGCACCACCCGGGGACTCTAAAATAGTTAATCTCACTGTGGGCCAGTCAATGCTGATCCATAGCGACCCTATAGGACAAAGTAGAACTGCACCTGTGGGTTTCTGAGACTAACTTTTTACGGAGTTGAAAGCCTTATCCTTTCCCCTCTGTAGAGCAAGCGGCTGGTGGCTTCAAATTGCTGACATTGCCGTTAGCAGCACAACTCACTGTTACCAGGGGTCCCTTCCAAAATATTTTAGTATTGTTTCCTACTTTCCTAGTGAGTTGTTCACCGTTGACCACGTTTATCCTACAATCTTGGTTTTTAAAACAGTGCAATCCAAGCAAAAATTAAAATGCTAATAAAAAGATAAAGTTAACAGAGACCGCCGTCGACGGTGGGATTTTTGTCGCGCGGTCCCACCTGTATTAACAACGCCTGCAACAGTGCCTGACTCCACTGGGCACTCAATAATCGTCGTGGGGAGGGCAGACACAGAAAACGAAAGGAAATAGAGGTCACGTGCACGACCTCCGCGGTCCTCTCTAGGTCTCCCTTAGGCCCGGGGACGCCCCGCAGGGAAGGTCGCACCTCCGAAACCCTGCAGCAAGCCCCTGCAGCAACGTGGTCCCGGGCACACGAGCCGCTGCACAACACGCATGCGCAGCTCCATTCGGACAGCGCGCCCGACGCGTGCGCCGGGCGCCGGCAAGATGCGCCTGCGCAGTACAAGCCGGCCGCCTCGGCCTGAGGGACTCGATGGAGAGCCAGCGGCGACGGGCCGAAGGGGCCCCGCCCGGC